AAAACGTATGAATAGTAAGATCAAATGAGGATTTATGGTAAACAATGGCTGAACGAAGTTGGCAATGAAGAGGCTAATCCTTCAGGAGAAGAGGAACTGTTGCTCCTTTTCTAACTCAACTTTTAACTTCAGCTGTTGGAAAAAAAATCCAAGTACCTTAAATCCAAGCACCTTAATAAAGATGAGGAGACATTGCCCCAGGCAAGGGAAGAAAGTGAGACTGCAGGAGATGATTACCATTGCAATGGAATAGATAATTTGTAATTAGTGCTATCAAGAGATGACAAAGCACTTGAGTTCAGATGAGTGGGATCCCAGAATTTTGTAGGCTGAGAGAAATAGGAAAGCCTTTGGGAAAAATATTTAATATTTCAGTTCAAAGAAGTAGGAAAAAACTGGACGACAGCATGCCAGTTTCCATAAAGGTGACAAAAGAGAAGGCATTCAACAGCAAACATGCAAGCATACAAGCATAATGCACAAGGGAGGTAAAGGAACTCACACAAAGGGTGGCATTTGCATCTTGAGGACAGGATGATTCTAATTAAGGAGAACGTTGATCCAGATGTGTGTGAAAATATCTGTGTAACATTAATGGCTATTCCACAGCACATCTCCTCCTCCCCATGTGCTGGTTCTGGTAGAGCGCTTGCTCCTGGAGACATGAGCTGAGAGGAAAGTGTGAACAGAAAAACTTTGCCACTTCCTTAGGCTTGCATGGCCCAAATACTCTTTCTCTTGGTCTCTGAGATTGGTGATGGCATGGAGAATATAAGATGCAGAGCTAAAAAGCTTTGAAAGACAATGGAGGCAAAGAGGTCAAAAAAAAACAGCCACTGTCCTCATACTAATGGCTTTTTGCCAGTGTATTAAATGGAAAGTACAGTCTGTCTTCACAAGTGTGATTATCATAACATTACAGCAATAGGCACTGCACAAAGGAGGAAGAAATGCTGATGTCCATTGAGACGTCTAACTGCAGTGGGAGGGATTTTACTCCCTCTGCCTTGAAGCCTCAGTCCTCAAGCACAGAAGCTGGGATTTCTGCCCTTTGAAAGACTGCTTTGAAGAGTAGTAGCTGAATAAGGTAAAGCTGTCAGGTGTGTACTGCAAGACTAGCTACAGGTACGTGTTCCCAAAAAGCATAGTATAGTCTCCTAATAAAATAAATTTATGTTTCCGTGGATGGATTCCCTGAGATCCACAGCATGAGTATTTAGGCACATAAAATTCTGGGCATGGAAAATCAGCAAGTCAACTGGGAGTCTGGACATTGAGCAAGCTGCATGGTTTTGTACTCTACTCTCCAGCAGAGGCACCAAGCAGAATTTTTTATTTAACCCGGGGAGCTCTGTATGCTTCAGGGACAAGGGGAAAAGGTGAGGAAAGAAATCTGTTTGTCATCATGGGGACAATAGACATCAGATAAATTCATCCATCTCACGGGATTCCTCTCATCTTCACTTCCACAGATTTATTTTTTCCCCTTCTCCGGTGTATGTATTTAAAGAACAGCAGAATGATGAAAGGTGAAATACGAACAAGTTGAAGTACAAATTAAATGGACATAATATAATGAACAAGTTCTTCAGAATTGTTTAGGAGTAAGATTTTTTTGTTTTAATAAGGTGGAGCATCTCAGCATGGCATGGGACCCTTTCTGTTCGTGGGGCTCTTCAGAGTTATTACGTGGGAAGACTGGAATTATGAGGGGGTACACCTCAAGCATTAACAACAGAAGCATTAACAAAATGATAACTATAAAAGTAAAATAAACAAAAGAATCCTGACTAACACTATTTAAAAAATATGGAGCTGTTCTAGAAAATTCAAAAAGAAGCAGGAACTGATGGAAATGAAAGAACTAAGCTTTGAATTGAGTAAACGATGCTTACTTGATTACACCCATATGCAGTCACTGATGAGCTCTTGAGCAGAACTGATGAAAAATTGGATTGTTTACATCTATTAAACCAAGCAAATGGGAATCTGAGCTGAATGTGCCAAAAAACCTTGAGAATAAAAATGCTAGCAATAATTGTTACATTTGATGTGTCAATGGCATGCCAGCAAGGATTCTGCATCAAATTCTGACCAATGGAAAAACGTTGGGTATGTGAAACGGTAATATCACTTATCTACTGAGCAGGCCACCTGATGACTGACAACTTTAATTTTAGCGTGAAATTGGCTGACTAGCTGTTGAAACATCCATCCCTTTCGAAAGGGATAGTAGTCTGCGGATATTTACCACTAGCAACTTCCAAAGTCAACCTTCTGCCCTCCTCATGGTCATTTCAAGCAGCAATGAGAGACCCTTAACCCAAACTAGTAGGGTGAATATTATAGTGCCCTCCTTCCTGGACAGAAGAAATATCTAAGTCTGGAAAAAGCTGGGCATTGCTGAGCTGGGAGAAAAGCATATCTTATTTTTAAGATGCAGTCTCACAGATGTAAAGACATAAGATGGTTCTAAACCCTATTGCATTTGAATGTCTTAGTTTATTTAGAAACTTCATTAGTACTTGCAATCATTTAATTATTCTGATTTTGATATTTGCCATCCACTTTGGGTTGAGGGAGTGTTTACAGCTAAACAACAATTAAAACACAAGCCAGAAAGCAAATCCCCAAATCTTTCCAAATCAGCCTTGAATTCTGAGCTGTTTCCTCCAGAAGTTTCCTATCAGAGAAACTTCCTTCAGTTTCAGAGATGTTGCCAGAGCACCACTTGCAGGTTGTGCTTCTCCTCCAGCTTCCTATTTGATCATACTAAGGGTTCCCCAGATTGGTCCAGGCACTTACAAAATATTCGTAATCACAGCAAGAAAGACCCCCCACACGATACCCCCCTGCCTACTGCAACAACGGGCATTCCACCAACTATGGCCGAGGGACCAAGACAGCCCTTCTATATGGAAAAGGATGACATTAAAAAAAAAAAGAGACTAAACAGGATTCACCAAAATAAAAAGCTTCATTATGAATTTGTGACTATTAGGATCCTATCTGCCATTGTGCTCCTGCTGTTGTGGCTGCTTGGTGCCCCAAAGTAGTTGTAAACCTTACCCAAGACAGCTCTGGAGTTGCTCTGCCGTGCCAAAGCAGATCACGGGATACTAATGGTGTTTAACTTTCCTCAAAATGCCAGCCAAACAATAGCCTAAGGGAATGGTAAAGTACATATGAAGCCTGAATGCTGCATTGACTTTTGGATTGCAACAGAAGGCTTCCATGGAATTGAAGGATTACTGCTAATTTTTATTCCAAAAGGAAAAATAGAACTGATGAGTATAACGTATACCCATAGAGCATGCGGAATGCTATACCAGCCCAGAGTCTATTAGCACATAATTAATTAAAATGGTTTGGCACTTAGACTTTTGTTACTGACACTACTAGAGCTAATGTTGGCCCCCTTTATATTCTCACAGTCCATGTCAGTAGGATGGACATATTTTAAACCATTTCCTGCTCTTGTTACAATACTTGCCAGTAGCAGGAGAAAATGCAGTAATAAATTATTCTCTGGTGCAGATTATAATTGCAACTTAATCTGGTGAAAAAAAATTCACTCTTTCTTGTTACACAGTCAAGGGACTTGTTTCATGGTGCTGCGAAAGGATGCTTTGAGTTGGGGTGTTAAATGAGGACCTAGTGAACAGCCTTAGCAATGGCAAGGACATGCTTGCGTAAGCTTGGGCTGCTCTCTCACTCTGCCGAGTTTATAAAAGTTTGACTGTCCTGGGACATACACCCAGTGAAATGATCTCTCCACAAAAAATTATCTCTCTTTCCAGAATCAGACATTCAAAGCAGAAATGTCATGAGTGTTTTCTTAAGGATATTTCATTAATGTTTTCTTAAGGCTCCCTTCCTGGAAAAAAAAAATAAAAACCTCCGAGATCAGTGCTGTTACCTCCCCGTGCCTGTTTGTTTAACAGTGGCTGAGGGTCACTCTTGCAGCCCCAAACAACTGTGAGACCTTGCTGCTAGAAGGTGCCATCAAGATCAGCGTCTCACGCAGCTGTGGGTCTCTCACTTTGGAAAACAAAGCAGGAAAGGTAGGTGTGCACAAAAATGAAATTAAATAAAAACTAATTAATTTTTTTGGTAAACTTCAAAAACAAAGGAAAGGTTCAGCTCGTATTTTGACGTTATAATTTCACGCCATTAAAAAAAACAGTGGACCACAGTAGGCTCTCTTTGCCAGAAAATACTTTCTTCTGAACTATGATGGTCTAAGACTGTCAAAAACGCAAAGGGCTTGTGCTTTCTCAAGTCTGAGAGCAAGAACTGCTCTGACATGGCACGCGACGGCAGACCGTCGGCTGCGGGTACGTTCTCTGAGCTATGTTGAGCTCGGCAGGGAGATGCTGCTGCCCCAGCTCAGGCTCCATGTGCAGCACGACCATCCTGACAGTACCGAGCTCTGTGCATCTGCACAACGTTTTGAACACAACTCTGGAGGATTTATTAGTGAGGCTGATTAATTATCAAGGATTCCTGCATAGCAGCTAAAGGAAGAGAAACGGGCTGTGAAGAACAGCATCATCCGTGCCAGTCATGTAGCAGAGAGCTAATTATTGCTGTCTATGTCATTGTTGTTACCGTCCGAGGGGAAAAGCTGGCATTGCTCCAGCTTCTGGTACTTTAAGGTAATAATGAAGAGCGTCTCAGCATGCAGCATGTTAGAAGGAGAGTTAATGTGCTTGCTGAATATTGTATCCAGTTCCTGATTTGTGTCAGCAAGATCTGCTAATTCATTAAAAAAAAAAAAAAGAAAAGAAAAGAAAAATGTCATCAGGACTACTTATTTAACGTACAGGTAAATTACACTGGAGAAAGGCTGACTGTAGTGATGGGCACTAGCTGCAGGTCTCCTCTGACTTGGCAGGTTGCCAAGGGGTCCACAGAGGTGCAGCGAGACCTCCTGCTCGGACAGACCC